GTTTGGAAAGCTCTGGGATGCAACCCCAAAAAGCTGGGGCTTTTTGCCCAGCTCTGCCTGCCAGGACAGGAGGGTAGGAGAGGGAACACTGTGGTTGAGAGGGCTCAACCCCCAGGAAAGGGCTGAAGGCTCCCATGTGGGATGGGATCAAAGGCTCAAAATCTTTGATTTTGTGACATTGTGGCCCAAAACTTCATGTATTGGCTAGTTTGTGGTTTTGTAGACGCAAAACCACGGTTCTGCATCTTCCCATGGCCTTGTCCTTGAACTGCTGGGGAAGAACAAGGATGGGGAAAGACATAGCCTGGAATCAAAGACCTGGAAAGAACAAAGTATTATGGATTCACAGTGCCAGAGGGGAGGGGTGGGTGGGATATTGGGAGGGAATTGTTCCCTGTGAGGGTAGGGAGGCCCTGGCACAGGGTGCCCAGAGAAGCTGTGGCTGCCCCTGGATCCCTGGCAGTGCCCAAGGCCAGGCTGGACAGGGCTGGGAGCAGCCTGGGACAGTGGAAGGTGTCCCTGCCCACAYGGTGGTGGCACTGGATGATCTTTATTGTCCCTTCCATCCCAGACCAYTCTGTGATTCCGTGATTCCTGGCTCTGGCCTCACCCTCAGCCTGGCAGCAGAGCTGATTTCCAGCACAGCTCAGCCTGGCTGTAGCCAGCAGATGTTAAAAGAGAGAACTTCCCCCCGTGTGTGCCCTGCTGGGGGATGAGAAGTCACGAGCAACCCCCCCCAGCTGCATCCTTGTTCTGCAGATTGCTCTGAGCTGTCAGATGCTGAGATGCTCTTGTCACCAGCTCCAGGCTGAGAATTGGAGCTGGGGGCAGGATTTTTAATGAGAAATGGTGATTTCCAAGCCTGCTGCAAGCAGTGGGCACCCAGGAAAGCAATTTGCAGCCCGTTCCTACCCTGCTGCTGGCACAGAGATAAGAAGTTGTGCTGAGGCTGTGCWTCATCCTCTGAGGTTTATCCCAATACCAGGAACTTGTGCTCACTTCTCTGGTGCTCCAGAGAGCAGAGCTGCAGACCTGGCCAGGCTCAGCGTGCCAGGAACGCTTCCAGCCCAGGTGCTGCCCACATGTGCAGTCTGAGATGGGATGGAGAGGGCCTTGGGAGGCCCAGGAGCTCCTTGTGATGCTCCAGACAGAGATAGGAGATGTGGCCAGGGGACAGRGAGCACTTGCTCACTTAGCTGAGGAGAGAGAGGAAAGGTTTGCTGTGGGAAAAACCTCCTGTCAGAAAATCTCTGAAACCTCCCATGTCTGCTGGTCCCAGAGGCTGCAGTTCCAAGGCAGAAGGGTTGTGTGATAGCTGGGTGTCCTGCACCTGTCCTGGACAAGGTGCCAACTCAGCTCCCCCCATCTGCCTGCCCTTCAGGGCCACTCTGAGCACAGGAGAGCTCCTCAGGCTGCCCCATGCTATCCCGAGGCAGTGGGAGCACAGGGATCTCCCCTTCCAGGAGAACCCAGCAGAGAGSAGATCTGGTTTGATAATCAGATCTCCAAAAACAGGGGAATGGAGGGATGGCCAYACAGGAGGAATGTGCAGAGGCAGGGCAGGCCAGTGGACCCTGCTGAAGAGAGCCTGTCCCTGCAGGTCCTGGCAGCCTCTCCGGGCACTCCCAGCCACCCCAGTCAGGCACTGGGAGCCATCCACACCATCCCCTCACCCTGCCCCACGGGCTGGGCAGAGCACAGCCTCCCCCTCCGTTTGGACAGGAGGGATCAGCACTGCTCGGCAGAGCAGATGGAGTCACTGATGCAGAGGAGGGAGCCACAACAGGAATGAGATGCAAAATCTRTCCAGGCTGAGAACCCTTGTCTCTCCTTTTTCACTCTCAAGGGAATCTTGCAGGATCTGACTGCCCATCACCACCACAGCCTAGAGTGTGAATTCCCTGCTGCTGGCATGTGGYACACATTCTGTAGGTGACCACTGTGAGGAGGAGTCTCCTGAACCCCCCCAGCCTTTCCCAGAGACACAAATGTGGTTCCTCTGAGCTCCTGCTAATACCCTGCTCACACCAGCTGATGGAGACAGTTCTTGCCATCCCCATGGACTCAGCAGCTGGTCTGGCACTCTCTCACCTTCCACTGCTCTGATTTTTGAAATATGTGGGTTTTTTTAAAATAAACATTCCTTTCTCTTTATTCCTGCCATGGTCTCATGGTGGGCTTAGCCGTGCTGGTCCATGTGAGGCAGTCCTGTCTTGCTCAGCTCAGATCTGACATGTCCRGGGATCTGACACAGGTTAAACCCTCTGAAGAACCAGCAGGGTTTAGAGCTGATTAGAGAAGCCAGCAGGGCCTTTGCAGTCGCTGAACTCTCAGAGCCCTGGCTCCACACCCCGTGTTGGATTGCTGGGCTCTCCATGGAATTGGCTGTGTCACTTTATTCCACACCAAAAGCCCGTTTGGCACCGAGGCCAAGGAGCAGTGTTTGCTCAGGGATTAGAGGAGCCTGCTCTCCCCTCCCCTGGCAGAAGATGCTGTCCCAGGAGTAGCTGCAGACACAGGTACCTTGAGTGGTGTTGAAGGCAGCCAAATCCCCAGCAGTGCCCGGCCTGCTCTTGCTGAGTGCTCCCCATTATTCCCAA